ACCACACCCACTCTATTTTTAAACCAACCAAATCTCCCTCTTTTTACATTGACACGGAGAGCTGGAGTAAAACCTTGTCCCTGGTGGCCAATGGGGAGCTGCAGGGATCCCTTTTACTGACTGCCCAGCTTCAGTTGGAGAACAGGGAGCCAGAGGGAGCTGAGAAATCAGTGTAGAGAGTTTACAAGAACCCAAAGCAGAGCCTCAGAGCAGGCACCAACAGCATTGCACCCTGGTGAGCAGAGTGCCAGTAGATAGGAGCCTGCTCAGGTGGGCGGTTGGGCTGTACATCCCCGTGCTACCTGTCACCTGGGGCAGACACTAGCCACCTTTAGAACACCACTGCTTCTTGGTAGTTTAGCTCAGTAAGGATAAACTCAAGAGGTAGGCAACTGCACAGAGTACATGCCTTGCAAAGACTTCTCATTGAGCTACATTAGAAAGTCTGTGATTGGGCAGCCACAGAAAGTCTGGGCTGGGGAAGAAAGGCAGATCTTGCAAAGGCTACAGACAAGAAATCTGCAGCTTTGGAAACTAAGTTTAGATATACCCCAATTTAAAAAAAAAATGCATGGGATAGGCAGAAACTATCCTAGATATAAGAGACTTATAAAACTATTTAGAAAATTAGACCAGTGTTTCCCAACCCAGTCCTCAAGGCACACCTACCAGTCCAGGATTTAGGGATTACCCAGTTGTGTCTAAGGTGTTTTTTTTCTTCTTTGTAAAAACACCTTAGACACAACTGGGTAATCCCTAAATCCTGGACTGGTATGTGTGCCTTGAGGACTAGGTTGGGAAACACTGAATTAGACAGACTAGATGGGCCAAATGGTTCTGCCGTCACTAACATTCTATGTTTCTAAGACCTTATTTATGAACTAACTTAAAACTGGCTCTAGTGACTATCCTAGGTTTGCCTTAATAGTCCAGATACTTTTTTTCAGTAACAATAAGTAGATTTCATTATACTGTCTGACAGTATCTGTGTGACACTGAATGCTATATATTTTTGTAATTTTGTACTAGGTTAAAAAAAGAGGATTAAGTGATGGGTTCACCTTGTTTAAACACTCCACAGCAAATTAAATCAGCTTTCCCAATCAACACTAATTAGAGCTGTTTAATTAAACACATTACAGCAATGAAGATTGAACAAATGTAATTCCAATTTCCGAACACTTAGGGAATACATTCAAACACTTAAAGATTTGCTTGGATGAACGTAAATATTCCTTATTATGGGTATATGCAAGATATTTGTGTTTAGGGACAAATATTTGAAATAAGTTATTCAACAGAACTTTAAGATTACCTGAGAGGCATGCGTCATGTCACAGTCGAGCTGCGCCATGCCATCCTCACGAGCTGATGCTGGATGCTTACCATTGTGTCATTTCATGATGCTCAATCCAGGATGACATTAATTTCATGCACCAAGTGTTAACTGAGTGTGTGTGCCGTCATTGCAGGTTATAATTAAACTCCACTTCCCAAGTACAAAATAAGCATATAAATAAAAAAATACTGTTTAATAGATATACTGCCAATGAAAACATGCATACATTTATAAATTCATAAATAAGGTCTTAGAAACATAGAATGTTAGTGACGGCAGAACCATTTGGCCCATCTAGTCTGTCTAATTCAGTGTTTCCCAACCTAGTCCTCAAGGCACACATACCAGTCCAGGATTTAGGGATTACCCAGTTGTGTCTAAGGTGTTTTTACAAAGAAGAAAAAAAACACCTTAGACACAACTGGGTAATCCCTAAATCCTGGACTGGTAGGTGTGCCTTGAGGACTGGGTTGGGAAACACTGGTCTAATTTTCTAAATAGTTTTATAAGTCTCTTATATCTAGGATAGTTTCTGCCTATCCCATGCATTTTTTTTTTTAAATTGGGGTATATCTAAACTTAGTTTCCAAAGCTGCAGATTTCTTGTCTGTAGCCTTTGCAAGATCTGCCTTTCTTCCCCAGCCCAGACTTTCTGTGGCTGCCCAATCACAGACTTTCTAATGTAGCTCAATGAGAAGTCTTTGCAAGGCATGTACTCTGTGCAGTTGCCTACCTCTTGAGTTTATCCTTACTGAGCTAAACTACCAAGAAGCAGTGGTGTTCTAAAGGTGGCTAGTGTCTGCCCCAGGTGACAGGTAGCACGGGGATGTACAGCCCAACCGCCCACCTGAGCATGCTTAAACTCCTTCACTGTGTTAACCTCTACCACTTCAGCTGGAGGGATATTCCATGCATCCACTAACCTCTCAGTAAAGTAATACTTCCTGATATTAGTTTTAAACCTTTGCCCTTCTAATTTAAGATTATGTCCTCTTGTTGTGGTAGTTTTCCTTCTTTTAAATATACTCTCCTCCTTTACTGTGTTGATTCCCTTTTATATATTTAAATGTTTCTATCATATCCCCCTTGTCTCGTCTTCCCTCTAAGCTATACATGTTAAGATCCTTTAGTCTTTCCTGGTAAGTGTTACCCTGCAATCCACGAACCAGTTTGGAAGCCCTTCTCTGACATCTCTCCAAAGTATCAAAATCCTTCTGGAGATATTTTACTGCTTTTTTAAGCCCACTCTTTTAAGAATTGCTATCATCTACCCTCCTCTCCCCCCGCCCCACCTCTCACCCCCAAGTCAACCCAGGCTATTCATTGAACACTTTTCTTCCTGGCTACCCCACTTTCTCTCCTCTAGCACTCCCTCCCTCATACTTGGGGACTTTAACACCCCAATCAACAACCTCAACTGCCGATGCCTCCTGTCTGCTCTCTGTAACCTCCTCCTTTGGCCTCACGCAGTTGTCTACTTCAGCAACCCATACAGCAGGAAACACTCTTGACTTCATCTTCACCAATCTCTGCACCACCTCTAATCTCTCCACTGTTCCATTTCCTTTGTCTGACCACCATCTGCTAACATTTGACATCAGCATACCCCGTACCCAAATCTCACCACCCTCAACTCTCCAATCTCGCAGAAACCTCAACTGCCTTGATCTCCAGCATTTCTCCACCAAACTCTCCTTTTACCCATCTCAAATCTAACTTGCACTAACTCTGCCACCTCAATCTACAACTCAACTCTTTCCTCTAAACTCGACTTCATGGCACCTCCTACAATTAAACGCAGCAAGCGCCTCCAGTTACAACCCTGGCACACCAAGCTGACCTGTTACCTCCAAAAACGTTCTAGAACTGCTGAACGTTGCTGAAGAAAGTCTCACTTTGCAACTGACTTCCTGTCAGGTATACCTAACATTCATGCTGCCGCCGGAACCCACTTCCGGGTTCCCGGCGCTTAGCTCCGCCCTTTTTTCTGACGCGGTCTTTCCACGATACTTAGGAAGACCGCGCCAGATTCAAAGGGCTGGATTATTCACTCAGGTGCGGCAGTAAGATCAGCTGTCCCACTCGATGCTACCGGCTCATCCTTCAGACCTCGGCTTGTAAACGGATTTCTACCTTCTCATCTCTCAGACCTCGGCTTGTAAACGGATTTCTACCTTCTCATCTCTCAGACCTCGGGTTGTAAACGGATTTCTACCTTCTCCTCCCCCAGACCTCGGCTTGTAAACGGATTTCTACCTTCTCCTCTCTCAGACCTCGGCTTGGACAAACGGACTTCCTTTCTCTCACTACTAAACTGCAGTTTGTTAAAAGAGACTCCTTCCTTTTCCTCCATTGGGTGAATTAACCCTTCCAGTGCCAGAGTGCTTCTAAGTTAAGTAAATCTCTTGTCAAGGAAAGCAAGTCATATCAATTATTATAGTATTTAATTTCTCTAAACTCTCTGTTGACAAATAAGCATTGCATTTTTTCCTTGCATGTGTATTTAAAGATACAGTCTACCTTGTTCACTTCAATAAAATAAAGGAGGTGAAACTTATTGTTTCTGCAGTTGAGTTCCAATTAAAGAGACATTACACAAAAGCATCACACTTCCTCCACTATAAATTTATGTTGATGTTGTGCTCCTACAGCCTGGCTCTTTCTGCTGCAAAAGTAAATAACTTTAACACCCTCATAAGTACACTGCCCATCAACCCAAACACCTATTTCAGACTTTTGATGCTCTTCTTCGCCCTTTTACTCCCTCTCCTTCTACCACCTTGTCCGCCACAAAAGTTGCATCTCACTTCAATGAGAAGATCTCTACAATCAGAGAAGAGATCTCTAATTTCTCTCCTTCCCCTACCAATATATCACCCAACCCCACTCCCTCCACCATTCTACACTCATTCGCACCTGCTACAACAGAAGAGATTTCTGCTCTGCTCCGGTCCTCCCGCCCCACCACCTGTTCCCTCGATCCTATTTCCTTGTATTTCATCCGCACTTTGTTTCCCTCTCTTGCTCTTCCTCTCACTAAAATTTTCAATCTCTCCCTTTCCTCTGGCACATTTCCCTCACCCTTCAAACATGCAACTGTTACCCCAATTCTGAAAAAACCCAGCCTTGACCCCAACTCCCCATCCAACTACCTCCCTATCTCGCTACTGCCATTTGCCTCCAAGATCCTCAAGAGAGAGTTGTGTACACCAGACTGACTGACTTCCTAGAATCCAACTCTCTGCTTGACCCCTTTCAGTCTGGATTCTGTGCTGGTCATTTTGTTGAAACGACTGTGACCAAAGTATTCAACGATTTAATTGCTGCTAAATCTCGCGGCCATTACTCTATCCTAAATTCTCTTTGATCTTTCTGCTGCCTTTGACACTATTTTTTTTTTTCAATTTGACAATTTTTATTTTGTCATAAAAATGCAATAGTGGGGTACAGAAGGGAAGAAGGGGGAGGGTGATTGACAATGGAACATGCATCCTACATCATTTTTGTTATTCAACAGTTCACAGTCACAATAAATGCTCATTGCTACTTGTGTGGGATGTACCTTGGCAGTTGTGGCATTTTGTGTATGTTTACTAGTGTTCGTGCCTACTCTCAAAATTGCTGCTGTGCGTGTTATTGGCCGCTTCATGTTGACATTACTTCAGGTCGGATGTTTCAGTTCCCAGTTTTCCCATACCTTGTGTCTCCAACTTTTATTGGGTGGTATGTGGGATATGCTAGATTCAAATTTCCCAATTTGGGATATGTGTCTGATCAGTTCTCGCATTGTTGCGTTAGTAGTCGATAACCAGTTTTTTGCAATAAGGCTTTGGGCAGCTACCAGTATGTGGAGTATAAGGTATTTAATCTGTTTCGGGTAGTCGGTTCCCAACATAAATAGTAGCAAAGACGTTGGGGAGTTTGGTATCATAATTGAGGTGTGTTGGTGTATTAATAAGATAACCTCTTTCCAGTATGGCTGTAGCTTTGTACAATTCCACCAGGTGTGTAAAAAAGTGCCTGTTTCCTGTTTGCAACGCCAACAGGTGCTAGACTTCTGTGGGTCCATGGTGGCTAGGCGTGTTGGGACCATGTACCAACGGTAGAATAGTTTACGGGTCGTCTCTAAGTGTGAGGCACAGAATGTCAGGCCTCTGGTCGCATTCGCTGCGGCCAGCCAGGTCTGCTCTGATAGTGTTTGGTCTAGGTCTTTTTCCCAGGAGCGTACACAGGTAAGGGATTTAATCCCTTGATGGGGCTGTAGTAGTTTGTATATGGTTGAAATGGGCTTTACCACTGGCGTATCTGCTATTATACTTTTTTCAAAGATAGTAGTGGTAGGCGATATGGGACGTGGGACATGGGTTTTCCACCAGGAGTGCAGCTGAAGATAGGAGTAGTATGCTGTGTTCGGCAATGTATATTTGGTTTTCAGTTGGTCGAATGTGGCCAGTTCGCCTTTTTCTAATAGGGAGTGAATATAAAATACCCCACATCTGTTCCACACTCTGTAGTTAAAGTCAGGTATCGTTTGCACCAGAGTTTTAATTGGGGTTGAAAGGGGGGTTGGGTGGCAGCTGCACAGGAGTCTGCGGGTGTTATCCCAGATTTTTAGTGTTGTTAAAGTGGCGGGGAGTGCTTTCGTGGTGTTCGCCCTCTGATGGGGTAGCATCCATAGTGTTGTTTGGATGTCTTGGGTTTGCAACCAGTGTTGCTCTAAAGAAACCCATTGAGGGAGAGACGTGCGTTGATGAATGGGGAAGAGACCGGCTAAGACCGCTGCTCTATAATACAATTTCACATTGGGGAGGCTCATGCCGCACATCTGCACTGGCCTTTGACACTATTGATCATCAACAGCTTCTCCGCATTCTCCATAATTTTGGTCTACGGGATACTGCTCTTTCCTGGTGCTCCTCCTACCTCTCCTAGCGCTCTTTCAGTGTTTCTTTCTCTCACTCTTCCCCTCAACCACTCTCTGTCGGCATCCCCCAAGGTTCTGTCCTTGGTCCCCTACTGTTCTCTACCTATACCACCTCCCTTGGTAAACTCATTAGCTCCTCTGACTTCCGTTATCATTTCTATGCAGATGACATGCAAATCTACCTGTCCTCTCCTGATCTCTCTCCGCCCATCTTGACTCGTGTCTCTGACTGCCTCTCTGCGATTTCAAACTGGATGGCTGCTCACTTCCTTAAACTCAACCTGTCCAAAACAGAATTTATGGTCTTTCCTCCCTCAAGTGCTACCACTCCCGTGTCTGTCTCCCTCTAAGTCAACGGCGCTACCATCACCTCTACCTCGCAGGCTCGCTGCCTAGGTGTTTTTTTTTTACTCCAACCACTCCTTCACCCCTCATGTCCAATCAATCGCCAAATCCTGTCGCTTCCATCTCAAAAACATAGCACGAATCCGCCCCTATTAATGCCAGATGCAGCTAAGGTGCTGGTCCATGCTGTTGTTCTCTCTCGCCTTGACTACTGCAATCCCCTTCTCAGTGGTCTTAAGTGTTCCCAGATTGCACCGCTGCAATCTATAATGAATGCCACGGCGAGGCTAATTTTCCTGTCTGCTCGCACCTTCCACGCCTCCCCGCTCTGTCAGTCCCTGCATTGGCTTCCAGTTAGATATAGGGCACAATTAAAAATTCTGGTGCTTGCTTACAAGTCCCTACATAAAGCTGCTCCAACCTACCTATCCTCCCTAATACACAAGTATGTCCTGTGTCACTATACCCCACTTCTCTAGAATGTAAGCTCATTGAGCAGGGCCCTCCACCTCTCTGTTCGTGTACGTCCAGTTGTCTGTTAGTCCACCCTTTGACCAGCGCTACGGAATCTGATGGCGCTATATAAATAATAAAATAAAAATAATACAATACTCCAAGTGAGGCCTCACCAGTGCTCTGTACAATGGCATGAACACTTCTCTCTTTCTACTGCCAATGCCTCCTCTCCCTATACAACCAAGCATTCTGCTAGCATTTCCTGCTGCTCTATTACATTGTCTGCCTACCTTTAATTCATCAGAAATAATCACCCCTAAATCCCTTTCCTCATATGTTGAGGTTAGGACTCTATCAAATATTCTGTACTCTGCCCTTGGGTTTTTACGTCCAAGATGCATTATCTTGCACTTATCCACATTAAATGTCAGTTGCCACAATTCTGACCATTTTTCTAGTTTACCTAAATCATTTGCCATTTGGCTTATCCCTCCTGGAACATCAACCGTGTTACATATCTTAGTATCATGAAGTAAACCCATGTTATCTTGAAATCTGTGTGATTTTCCACGTGGTCTCTTATCTTTAAATCCGCATGATTTTAGATGTTCAACAATCCTATCCTTTAACACGGTTTTGATTACTTTCCCCACTACTGAATCAAGGCTTACTGGCCTATTACCTTTCTTGTGAATTGGCACAGTTGCTAATTTTTTTAAAATTTTTTATTTTTTACAAAGAGGACCCAGGTTACCGGTAGCCATATCTAAAATATACATGATATTTTTATGAATATGCAGTGTACTTTCTTACCGATAATCCAATAAGAAATCGGATTCCCACTTTAGTAGCAAACAGGTACAGTTTTCCATTTTTGTGGCACAACTATAAAATACTTCAAGTTGGATTTTCTGCTTTCTTTTTGATCAACAGTAGGAACAGATAAGTGAAAGAAATTATCTTGATGACCCTGCAACCTTTTTAAGCCTATATAACAATAAAACTATTAAACAAAAACATTATTTGCCATATACCAACCCCTAATGTACATTTTAATTAAATGATTATTCCAAGTAACATGACTATGTCAATCAGTAAAGAATATGGGAAAAAACACAATACACAGAAAGGTAATTCTAACAACCTGGAAAACAGGCTGTCAGGAAGACAGCCAGTAGAGGCTGGATTAACCCTGCAATGTAAGCATAGCAGTTTCTCTGAAAATAAGACCGGGTCTTATATTAATTTTAGTCACAAAAAACACACTAGGGCTTATTTTCAGGGTAGGGCTTATTTATTTACGGTACCGGTATGTACATTGAACCCCCCCTTTAATTAATCCACCCCCCTTTAATAAATCCACCCCCCTCTAATTAATCCACCCCCTCTAATTAATCCAGCCCACCCTTTAATTAATTCACCCCCTCTAATTAATCCAGTCCACCCTTTAATTAATTCACCCCCCTTTAATTAATTCACCCCCCTCTAATTAATCCAGCCCACCCTTTAATTAATTCACCACCCCTTTAATTAATTCACCCCCTCTAATTAATGCAGTCCACCCTTTAATTAATTCACCCCCCTTTAATTAATCCAGCCCACCCTTTAATTAATTCACAACCCCTTTAATTAATTCACCCCCCTCTAATTAATCCAGCCCACCCTTTAATTAATTCACCACCCCTTTAATTAATTCACCCCCCTCTAATTAATCCAGCCCACCCTTTAATTAATTCACCACCCCTTTAATTAATTCACCCCCCTCTAATTAATCCAGCCCACCCTTTAATTAATTCACCACCCCTTTAATTAATTCACCCCCCTCTAATTAATCCAGCCCACCCTTTAATTAATTCACCCCCTTTAATTAATTCACCCCCCTCTAATTAATCCAGCCCACCCTTTAATTAATTCACCACCCCTTTAATTCACCCCCTTCTAATTAATCCAGCCCACCCTTTAATTAATTCACCCCCTTTAATTAATTCACCCCCTCTAATTAATCTAGCCCACCCTTTAATTAATTCACCACCCCTTTAATTAATTCACCCCCTCTAATTAATCCAGCCCACCCTTTAATTAATTCACCACCCCTTTAATTAATTCACCCCCTCTAATTAATCCAGTCCACCCTTTAATTAATTCACCCCCCTTTAATTAATTCACCCCCCTTTAATTAATTCACCCCCCTTTAATTAATTCACCCCCTCTAATTAATCCAGCCCACCCTTTAATTAATTCACTCACTCTAATTAATCCAGCCCACCCTTTAATTAATTCACCCCCCCCACCCCCTTTAATTAATTCAATTAATCCCAGACATAAAATATCTAGCGGTACTCACATTTCAAAGATTCCTTGCCGAGTTCGACCACTGGGAGCCTCACCGCCCGGAAATGGATCCTTCCGCTGAAGATCCGTGAAGGCAGACTGACGGCGCTGCAAAATGTCGTCATCACGTTGCGCAACGCTCCTCCTACAGCAGAAGAAGGAAGTCTCGCCGCAAAGGTACAATGCCTAGGTCTTATTTTCGGGGTAGGGCTTATATTGCAGCCCACCCCGAAAATCCGACTAGGGCTTATTTTCGGGGTAGGGTTTATTTTCGGGGAAACACGGTAGCAGTTTCTCTGAAACTGCTATGTTTACATCTGAAGGGTTAAAACCTGGGGGACCTGACACCCAGACAACTTCATTGAGCTGAAGTGGTCTGGGTGACTATAGTGGTCCTTTAAATAGGTTGACAATAATAAATAATCAGTTTTGGCTGCGTCCGGCGTGTGTTCCATCTTGAACCGCAATAGTGTATTTCCTATATGTCGCCGTGATGACATACTTCCTATGCGTCTGGTGTGAGATGTAATACCAGACGTCTATTTCTGAAATGGCTCTATCAGCTAATGCGCATGCAAATATAAATAGCGCCCGAACGCCAAGAGAGCTGGATGGAGCTGTAAGTATGGGGACAAAAAAGTGGACACAAATCGTCATATCGGAGAGACATTTTCTAACACTCTATTTACAAATGAGAGACAATCACAAGAAACAGTAAAGAATGATGGAAAAAAACACTTGGCCACTAGTGCAGCGAGACAGAGGCAATGTTAAGAGAAAGATTTTGTGAACTATGGATAATCTGAAGAAATATAGACAAAATATATATGAAATAAATACAAATAAAAATAAAGATAAAGATAAAAATAGAAATAAAATATAAGAAAGAAGAAAAATAAAATTAAAATGTATAAAATTCAATATATTAAAATATATATATATATATATATATATATACACACACACACACACACACACACACACACCCCTGGACACAACCCAAAGTGGCAAAATATTTTTACGTACAAAAATTGGAATATCTACTAAACAAGATAGAAAGGAACAAGACAAAATAGAAATCAAATGAGACCCTTCAAGTCAATATCCTGATTTAAACCAAATTTAAGAGTTTTTAAATTAAAAATCCATTAAGCTTCTTTACGGATAAGTTCTTGCAATCTATTACCCCCTCTCCAACCCAGATTGACTCGATCAATCCCAATGGCTAGGAAATTGTCCCAACGGAATTGTGCACATGAGTTACAATGCCTAGGTACAATATGGTCTGTTTTTTACTTTTGAGGTTATTAAAATGTTCACAGATTCTAATATGTAGTTTATGTGTGGTGCATCCTACATATTGTGCTCCACAACCGCATTGCAATAAATAAATTACAAATGTGGAGGAGCATTGGATAAATATTTTGATAGTATACATTTCTTGAGTATAAGCACCTATAAAATTTTGAGTTTTTTTGGGGGGGGATTTGCATGTAGAACATTTACCACAACTGAAAACCCCCCCACATAATTGAGTATTAAACATATGACCATGTCAATGTATTGAAGTGGTGATGCATTTCAGTATGAAAAACTGTATATACTTAGATATTTTATATTGCTACCAGAGGTGTAATTCCATCTCCCACAGCATCATTAGTCTGCCTGAAACAAGAGTTAAAGGGACACTCCAGACCCCTAAGTCACTTTAGCTCGCTGAAAAGTGCTATGGGTGAAGAATGTGTCCTCTTTTTTTCGTT